TTTTGAAAGTGTTTGGTGTGTTTGAAAATATATTTGTTTTTGAAGATGAATTCTGAGCAAGCAACTAAGAACGTTCTACCTACTCAAAAGTCTTTTGTTCATTTCTCTCTTCCTTTGACATTGCCATCTTACCATTGATTGGTAAGAAGCTCTATCTTTGGATGTGAAGGGACGGGCGTGGGTCATCGCATGGTCATGAATAACAATGTTGTGAGATATCTTAGCATTTCTCTTGAGGGACTAAGATCATTTGTAAGGCAACATTCGTAGCGTCATCGAGGGACTATGATCTTGTATTTTTCGATCGTTTTTGCTAAGGCATCTCACATGCATAACATGACCATTTTCTCAAGGCAACAAGTGGAGTTAACCCTTGAGGTGCAAAGTGTGAAAGTGTTTGTATTTCATGCTTGGTTTATCTTGAATTAGGGTTTTCGAGGCATTGCTTTTATCTTTCCATACAAACCCTAATTACTAACATTTATATGAAAGCGATAAATTGCGGAAAGTAAATATCCTATATTATTACATCACTTGGGGATGAGGTGTACAAATTTACAAATGGGGATTGTAAGAAATTAAATCTTATTATCTATTACAACCATATCGAACTTGAATAATGTACAAGAATTAAAATGTATATGATGTACAAGCATAGAAATGAAAAGGGAATGGATTTTGTTTTTTTTTGGATTTTGTTAAGAAAAGATTTTGAACTAAATAACTAAATAAGGGTAATTAATGAAAATAGGAAATTTGAACTAAGTTTAAAATGAAATTAATCAAAGATGTAATTTTAGGGTTTTTTGCATGAAAATAGTTTTGAATATTAATTAAACTAGTAAAAATTAATTAATTAAAAGAAAACTTAAGTTTTAATTTAATTTTAATTAGAATAAAATAGGTTAAATCCTAGCCTAATAATTAATTAAAAAAGGATTAAATTTGTATAAGAAAATATTTTGTCTTTTTGATAGGGAAAAATATAATATAAGTATATGTATATAGTATGAATAATAAATAAAATATTTTGTCTTTCTTTATTAATAGAAATAATAATAAGAAAGAAAAAAAAATAAACAAAATAAGTCAGGAGGGGGTGAAAGTTGAATTTGAGGTGTTTTTGTATAGAAAACTGTTTTTGTTTGGCCTGGCCCAATAATCATTTAATTAGAGAACTAAAAAAAATAAAAATGGGTTGCATTGCTGAAGTAAAATGGGGGGTCAGAAAAATAAAAATGTCAAGGCCCAGCCAATGGAGGCCCAGGCGCGCGTCCTGCAAACAAAAAAAAGTGAAAAAATTTGGAAAAATGACAAAAAGTCTCGCTGGGGCTCGAACCCAGAACCTTCTACACAACAAGGCTTTAGCGCGCGCTATTTGTACCTCTGAGGTGGTTTGTTTCATCCATTCATAAGATATCTTCAATTAAATATAAAATGAACTCGTTTCTGATGAAATTCCTAGCTTCTTCTTCCTTGCGCGTGCAGACCATGATAACTCCATTGTTAAGCTTCTAAAAGCTTCATTTCTCAGCCAAATCAAAAAATGTAAACATCAAACCTGCCTAAAATTTGAATACAAATCTAACCACATAATTTTCAAAAGTTATGGGTCAAAGTTTAGCATGAATTTTGTTCAGTATCAAAATTAATACCTAACTGATCATAAATGAAATTCTCAATGTATAAGCAATGATAATCGAAACTATGGACATAGTCAGCTTCCTAGACATGATATCTACATCTTTTATTCATAATGTATATACAAATGATGCTTGAATGAAGAGTTCCATGTTTGAAAAAAACTTACCTGTTGGAGTGAAACTCGAATGACTTATACACGACTTCCAGAAATGGTTTGATGATGGATTAAGCTTGCCTGGACCTCCCTAAAGCTATTCCAATTGTTAGAATATCTTGTAGCTTGCCCAACTGCTCTGGACAAGTCAAGCTGCAATTGTGGATTTTGAAAATGATGGATAAGGAAGAAGTTACAGAAGTGGTTTAAGGGTTGGGATAGTTTCTATGTGGTATATGGAAGCTTAGTGAATCAAAAGGCCAAAAACGCACGAAGGGAATTGAGATTTTGTGCGTAAAGTCATGATGTGCCAAGTTTTGTGCTTGTGTGCAAAGTTCTGAGTTTTTATGAGTTTGGGAGTGTTCTAACGCTTGTAATCTCGTCTTCTCTCCTCTCTACTCCTTTTTTTCTCTTACTTTTTTTTCTCCTCCTTTTTGTTTTTTCTGCTTGTCAAAGACTTGTATATATGTATGAAAAAAGGTTAGAGATTGCTTGCATACCAGATTTATAAGTTCTAGCCTTTTGGCTCTATAACTTGCTTTTTTCAAGGAAAGTGAGAAGACAGGTCCCAAAGTATTGTACAAGCATGATCTGAGTTGGTAGCAGCCTTAGACATGCTGCTTTTAGTTTGTAAGGGTTATGTGTGCAGAAAGAACAAGTACAAGGCTCAATAAAATTGACTTTGTATAAAGCTTACTTTTCTAAAATGGCAATGGTAACTTTGTACCATTAAGGGAAAATTGGCTTAGACAATACTTTAAATACTTGGGTAAGATCTTAATTAATTGTGTACACAATTAATTATGGAGACACAAGTTTCAAGCCTGCAAAGCAAGATCATGTAGCATGGCCTATAGATTTGATCAATGTTCTTCAAAATTCAGTCTTCAACTTGATTCCTTCTACAAAAATATTGAATCTTTGTAGAACTTTAATCTTTTTCTTACTCTGGTTTTTGACAAGCATCTTGAATCTCTTAAAGATGTCGAATACTCCGTCATTTCGTTTTGATCACATAGATCCACAACTTTCGACCAAACTCATCAATAGACAAAACAATATTTGTTTCCACCAATTGTATGTTCTTCGAATGGACCACATTCATCTCAATGTACCACTTTGAGTATGCAAGATGGTGTCATTGGCATAGTCGAAACGAAAGAATTTCTGGAATGCTTTCCTACTAAACAAACTTCACAAAGTTTTTTTTCCAGGCATCTCAAGACTTGGAATACCAGTAACCATATCTTGAGTAATCAGTTAATTAAGTGGTCGAAAGTTCAAATGTCCAAACTTCAAATGCCACAACCAACTATCCTTGTGGTCGAACAATTTTCAAACATTGAACTTCTGTCGAATTGATCATTGTCTTAAATGTCCTATTTTTCGACAATGGAGATTTTAAGACCAAATTGTTCTTGGTGTCGAACAATCTCAAAACTCCATCTTTCATGACAGCTGATAAACTTTTTTCGACTAGTTGTCCAATACTTAGCAAGTTGCACTTTATTCCAGGTACATATAGCACATCTTTAATCATAACTTTTCCTCCACTACTCATTTGAAAGACTATGTTGCCAGTACCTTCTTCTTGCAATGAACTATTATCAACAAGTTTTTTTGTTAAATTGTAATTCATAGTGTCGAAACTATGTGTGTCGAAGAGTTTAGAGGTGGATCGAAGCAGGTTGCTCGAAGGAAGCCATTTCCCAGTCGAAGCTTGTGGATTGAAGCAAGCATGAAGATATACAACATGTCAGTTATCAATCTGGTGAAGAACCCAATAGCACGTGGTCGAAGCAAGCACATCGAAATGAAGTTTCATTATCTCCGAGAGCAGGTAGCAGATGGGAAGATGAATTTGGAACACCGCAGAACTAAGAATTAGATTGCATACATCATGACAAAGGGAGTGCAGGTCTAAGTATTCAGAAGACTAAGAACCATGATGAATATAGATTGTTTAGACACAATGAATTATATGGTGTGTTAAATTGTAATTCATAGTGTCGAAACTATGTGTGTCAAAGGGTTTAGAGGTGGATTGAAGCAGGTTTCTCGAAGGAAACCATTTCCTAGTCGAAGCTTGGGGAATGAAGCATGCTTGCTTTTCTTTGACTTGTCAAAATCTGCCAACCACTCCTTTCAATCACACATGTGGTTCGAAAAGCCTGAACCAGATTTTGAATTCGACATGGTTATCTGCAACTGCACACCTTTTTTATCTGCTTTTCCCTTTCGACAGTTTTCTCTTCCTCCTTTCGAGGATTCAGAAGTTCCATATTTGACCTGATGCTTGAGAGTCCAATATGATCCATGGAAACTATATGGGGCATTAAAAGTCCAATTGTACTTGTTTAAACTCAAACCCTAGTTTTGAGTCATCAGTGTTTAAGGAGGTATCTTGAGCTGATCAAACCTTGTGCAGTCTTGAATCAATAGAGATCTTGTGAGAAAATTCTTAATAAATGAGAGGGAAAATTTTATGGTACAACACCTGCTAACTATTTTCTAACAGATTTTTTTTGAATCCTTAACCAACTCGATAACCGTTTTTTCCTATAACGAATTTCTAATAGACCTAACCGATTTCTCTAACCGACTTCTAATTAAGTATCTCAGAGCAACAAAATTAACTAACAGAATTAACAGAATCCTAACTCAAACTTCTTGTAATAGTCCATAAGAAAATAATTCAAACGATTCTCCAACAATTTTTTTTAAACTCCAACTAACATAACAGATGCCAACTCATCAAATTCAGACCATAACATAAAACATAATAACCAACTCATCTCTTAACTTCCATAACAGATACCTAACTGTTTCATAACAACTTCAAAACAGAATTCCTAACAGCTAACAAATTTGTAACTAACTTTCTAACTATTTTAATCATCCCTTAACAATCTATATAAGTGAGTTCAGAAGAAAGGAGAAAAAGGTTCACATTTTGATGAATACGAAAAATTCTCAGAGATTATAGAAAAAACCACCTTTTAATTCTCTCTTCAATCTTCTCCCCATAACCGTTTCTAGAAGTTCTTGAATAGTTGAGAAGAATCATTCACCAAAAATCCTCATCTTCATCTTTAATCTTCATTCTTCTTTCTCCCTTGTACATAGCTGCACTTTTAACCTTTTTCAATCCTCGGCGTTCATCTTCAACCATCCTCATCATCAAATATTCATCTTCTTCATATCAGTCATCAACGTTCACTTCTCTGCATAATGTTCGATCATCAACATCACTTTCTGCATAAGCACAACTACATCAACATTGTTCAACAACACAAGATCAACATCACTACACGAAAAACGCAAAGAATCAAAACAGAAGGGAAGAAAAGTGAAAGTGAAGAAGCAGACGATCGAAGTTACCTGAATCTCTGAGTCTCTAGATTTCTAGTTACGTTCGATACATTTGAAGAAGTGCGGACTGACTCCGGAAGGTAATTACTACAGACTCCCTTTCGGTGAAGCTTTAAGCATTTGAAATCCATAACACGATGTAGTTTTGCAATTTCGATTATCGGTTCAGGGAGAGATTTGAGAAATCGAAATGGAAGTGTTTGAGAATGAACGAAAGTAGATAAAAAGCAATGGTGTGGAGACAGTGTCCTTAGGTTTGTCAAATATGAGGACATGATGAAGAAGATGAGAGGAGTAGTGCGCGACATCGTCGCTTGAGGAAAAGGAGGTTGACAGTGAAAGGTTGGAGGGATCGGCAACGGTGCGTTCGATCTGCTGAAGAGGAAGAAGGATTCAAACCGTCACCCCGAATATAACCTAATTCATTATTTTTGTTTTTTGTTTAATTTATTTTATTTGTTTTTTTTTTCATGTAATAGATAACTAGAGTGGACAATTAAAAAATATTGAATGGCCTAGGTACTGATTTCGTTGGGCCCGTCTAAGCATGGCTCATATAGATTTTTGTGAACCTGACTAGTGGAACAAAAAGGAGCCATTGATGGATCACTCTAGAATTGGGCCAAATAACATTACCTTAGGCCTGTTGCAATTACCTTGAAGCCTGATAACGACTTAAACAAAAAACAAAAACTGCCATGATTGTTAAATTCAGACCTTGGGCCGAAATCTGCTTCCTCTAAGCCCAATTCATCAATTTTTTGTAAAAGCTTGATACACAAAAAAGGGACCCTCCTAGACTCAAATTATATGGGCCTAGCGCTCTTGCTGCTGCCAAAACCCCATTATGACTTTACACCCTTGTTTCCTTTATTTTTGTTTTGTTTTCTTTTTTAATTATAATTTCTCTTTCATAATTTTTGTCGATAAAAGTATATGATAAAAAATATAATAAAAACAATAAAAAATAATATAACATAATAGAAATTTTTAGAAATTAATTCTTTAGTTTTTTAGAATTTTCCTCATATGAAGATTAATAAAAATACTTTTTTTTCTTTTTTCTTTTAGTTTTTATCCATATTTTCATATCGTCAATTTTGACGCGTTTGTTCATTGTGCAAGGTACATTCTTTTTGCTTTCGATCATGTAACATAACAAGTTGTTATGTGATCGAAGCATATGGTTTATGCTCGCTTCCGATGCGAAACACCTTATTTCTCTTCGTCCCGAGAAATTCATATCATATTATATGTTATTCAGATGCATGTAATATTTTGTGATGCTTTGTGCAGGAACTTCTGATTACGTGTTGCATTTGCAATATGAGTTTGCTTTTATCATAGTAGGATATTGTTTCTGACTTTGTCTGTTTCTTGGTGAAGCTTGCTCGACGCGTACTCCGTGCTTCTCCATTGCTTTCGTCCGCTTTCGACAATTTGCTTGCTTGTGGTAGTTGTTGTTACTACCTTTGTATTTCTCCGCACTTTATCGCATTTCTTTACCGCCTTTCTAGAAATCATGAGAAGCAGGTCTTTACTGCTTTTCTTGCCATGAGAAGTAGGGTAGAGATGTATGATGGGGTTTCCGTTGCTAATCATGTCAGGGACCCCTCTGGTTTATTTAAAGACCCATTTAGAGCAATTCCACATTGTGTGCATTCTGTTTGCTACTTGTGTATGGTTTGTTTAAAACCCTGCCTTTGAGTAGGTATTCTAGAGGTGCGTTTACATTTGTGCCCGCACTATTCCCTCATCCTTTATTGAAGTCCTCAAAAAGAGGCGAGCGGGGAGGGTTCACAATCAACCCCCGCAATTTCATCAGTGTCATCCCTAGCTTGTGACGCACCACGATGCTTCAGAGTTGTGCCTGCTCTTGTTATGATTCATTAAGTGGGGAAGGGTTTTGTAATCAACCCCCCGCACTTTGTCAGGAGTTTGCATTGGACGATGCGGATACTCCGTGATTGTTCACATCGTCTTCTATTTCCTACCTCGATCTCCTATATCTAGGTTAGATGTTCAGTCGCTTTGGATGTCACATTTTTGTTTACATCCTACTCCTGCTTGTTTGTCTCGGGTGATATGCTCCCCTTGGCTAAAGCATTTTGCTTATTTTCTTTACCATTTTATGTGTTTGCTCTTTCGAGATTGTTCGCTTACTCACATTCTATACCATGTTCCTTTAGGATGTGCTTTCTCCTTTCGGATGCAAGTTAGACCTTAGGTTGCAAACCATGCATGCTAACATTAGATAGACGTTTCCCTTTTGTTAATCCAAACTTTAGGACAATCATTGTATGATAACATTAGGATTAGAAATAGGCTAGTCTCCCATAGACTCTTTTCTTCCCGTTTTTGCATATGCATTTAAAACTAAAACATCTTTTTTCTTAGCAAATCATAAAACATCTTAATCATACTTAAACCCTTTTTCAAGGTAACAAAATACAAACCAATCAAATGTGACATATTTCCTTGAGGGGGTAACTCAAAACCATTTTCAGGTAAGGACATGTTAATTTACTTCTGTGCCGACGCATGAGTCTCTAAAGGTCGAGCTGTGACAGAAGGCGGAATTAACATTGTTCATAAAAAAATATAAAACAAATAAAACATGTGAGCCGAACTACGGTAACTCTGATTCCTCAAAAAGGATACGTAGGCATTGAGGTAGGGCCCAAGCGCGTACAACTTTATTTTCCCTACATTATTTGCCTTTTCTTTTGCATGCATTCCTCCTCAGTAGTAAACATTAAGAATATATTTGACACACCCATAAGATAGAACAACAAGAGTGGATACCGTGGAGTACTACTGGCATGTGGGGTGCTTATACATTCCTCTCGCGTAACAGACTCCCTTACTCGATCTCTCGGTCACAAGACTGTGACTTCTCCCTTCTCAGGTTTTCTCGATATTTACCTTTCCCTTCACGTGGGATAAAAGGCGTTCGATGGCGACTTCATTGTTTGATGATTTTCAGCCAGTTGTTTCAGCTGGCGACTTCACTGGGGACAGGTCGACCAATTGCTGGTCCATCCCGGAGTCGCTCCTAACTCTTGTTTCCTTTTCTTTGGGTGTTTATTTGTGTGCTTTCGGTTTTTTCATTCATACATGTTTACCTGAGAATATGTATGCATTGCATTTTACTGTTTTCCATATACTCTTGTTGTACTGGATCTACTGCTTGTTTGGGTGGATATTACTATGAGGTAAAAGGCCCAATACCCAGGCCTGAGTTATATACCACTAGGAACCCTAGGAATAAAGTAGAACATGAACGGCTAGTCTACTTTGGTTTGCTAGTACGATCATGCCGTCCATGCTCAGTTGAGGTACAAATGAGGTGTTATCGTTTCACGCAGGTATTTCGATGATAGTGGCCTCAGGCGGATCCATGATCCTGAGTTACCCTTGCCTTACCTTGACATAGTTTACACCTGTGACTGGGGAGGGAATTATTATCACAGGTGTATATGGTGACTATGTTCAGATGGTTACTCATGTTCATACGGTGGTTATTTGTTCTAATGATTATGTTCTAGATTTCTGTTGGTGACTAGGAGGTTCTCAAATTTATTTTCTGAGTTCCGAATCTGATATTCATGAGGTTCTTCCGGTTATGTCCCAAACCTGTGATCTTGGTACTAGTAGACGATGCAGAGGAAGTACAGCAGAAACCAGTATCATGGAAGTAGTAATCCCATGATCATTTTCACTTATATTATAGCATGTTTACTTTTCAAAAAGAAATGTTAGAAAAATGAAACTATATACTAACCTTGCATGTGCATGTCCATTTCAGGGTATCTCACAAAGTTATAGTTTCTGTCAGTAACGTCTAGCAACAATGATGTTCCCAAGAGGACCAGAAGAGACAATTTTACTTATGAATTCTGCTCAAGTTCTTCGCCTTCTTTGAAGAGTTTGAAAGACCATTCGGTCCATCCTGATAAGATATAGTGGCACACTTTGACTCTATTAGTTATTCGAGCAGATGATGAAGCTCTCCGGACTCTACTTCAGTTTTATGACTACGAGTTACGCTGTTTCACCTTCCAGGACTATCAGATTGCTCCGACTTTGGAAGAGTACTCTCATTTGCTCAAGATTACCAAGCACATATTTGTTGCTCTTTTGCATGAGCCCGATTTTGAAGCTATTGCTAAGGCACTTTATTTGAGCCTTAGTGATGTAAGATGGAGATGGAGAAAGAATGGTAGCCTACCCTCATACTTATTGGTCCTTAAAGCATAAATTTGGTACTTGGCGCGTGTTTAACGCGTTGTTAACTGTTGTAGTCTATGACACGATTCAACAAGAAGATTGAAAATATCGAAAAGCTGGTTGAAGGCAATAACGGAGGAGAAAACATCATGCCATAAACGAAGACTATACCAATCTATCGACTCGATTCTGTAGTCTGGATATCGTGATAATCAAGTAGGATGAGGTGCTTCAAAGTTTGGTTTTGAATACTTGGGGCATAGTCCGTTGCAATCTTTAGATCCAGGAGATTGATTATTGTATTGTTGTTCCAGTTACCGCCAGGCTTGTTCGACATAATCACTTATCTTGTACTTTCGCAACTTCTTGTATTAAACTCCTCTGGAATTTCTCCTATTTATGGATATTTTCTTTATATGGTCATTCTTATTATCATGTTGCTCGATTATTACTAACATTGATTAAGTTGTGAAAACCCGGAATGGCCAATCATTTCATACATCATACATATAATGCATTTCATGAATTGTAGGTTTTCTAGTTGGAACTCTTATCTGATGGTTTTGCCTCTTATTATCATAATCAACAAGATGACTTCCTTACATCCTTATCACACCCGAGCCAACAAGTTAAGGATTACTGAGCAGATTGAGCAGAACCAGGTCGCCCTCAGCAAAGACATGGACACCATGGGTGATCAAATGAATCAGCTCATGGAAAATCTTCACGCCGTCATCCAAGGGCAGGAAGAGCTCAGACGGAGTGTTACTAAGTTGGTTGACAGTGCCTCTACGTATGATAATGGTGGACCCAGTAACAAAAATGGGGGAATTCCTAAAGAGAACCCACATATGATTTTGGATGATCACCATGATGTCATCGACCTCGATGGCCCTCCAAAGGATTCTACAACTAATTTGTATGAAACTTCTAAAGTGTATAAGGCTTTGGAAGAATGTTTGAAGGCTATGGAGACTTCCAAAAGGCCGGGATTCAGTGCTGCTGCTATGTGTTTGGTTCGGGGGTCGTGATTCCACCAAAGTTCAAAGTACCAGAATTCGACAAGTATAACGGGGTT